AGTCCAACCCCCTGCAATGCAGGAATCTCAGCTAAAGCATCCATGCCATCTAACCTCTGCCTAAAAACCTCCAAGGAAGGACAGTCCACCACCTCTTGTGGGAGTCTGTTCCACTGCCAAACAGCTCTGACTGTCAAAAAGTTTTTCCGAATGTTTAGTTGGAATCTACTTTCTTGTAACTTGAAGCCACTGCCTTGAGTCTACCCTTAAGAGCAGGAGAAAACAAGCATTCTCCGTCTTCCATGTGACAGCCCTTAAGATATTTGAAGATGACTATCATATCTCCTCTTAGTCTCCTCTTCTCCAGGCTAAACATACCCAGCTCCTTCAAGCGCTCCTCATAAGGCTTCATTTCCAGACCCTTGATCATCTTAGTTGCCCTCCTTGTCCATTCCAACCTGTTAATATCCTTTTTAAAATGTAATACCCAGAACTGGACACAGTATTCCATGTGTGGTCTGACTAAGGCAGAATAGAGTGGTACTATTACTTCCCTTGATCTGGACACTATACTTCTGTTGATTCAGCCTGGAATAGTGTTAGCTTTACTTTTGCTGCTGCATCACACTGTTGACTCATGTTACGTCTTCAATTTAGTTGACTACAAAAATTTCCAGCGGATTTCAACCTTTAAAGTGGATTTTTGGAGTCTGGAAGTTAAAAAAACTAAGCAGTGAGAGATTTCAGGGATGCCAACACATACCTTGGGTTGGGTTTCCTTGGAATGAAAGCAGTAAAAAACGGTGGTGTCTTCATGATACCAGGATATGCCAGCAATTGAATTTGGGACCTTCTGCTTGCAAAGGAGATGTTCTCCTGCCACATGTGTGGAACCTTTGGTGCGCCACATGTTGCTACAACCTCCTTCATGCATAGCCATTGGACATCCTTGCTTGGGCTGATGGGAGTTGTAGTTCAGCAACATCTAGAAGGCTAAAGGTTTGCCACACCTGTTCTACCACCAAGCTATAGCTTGTGACATCCGTTGCTTGGATTTTTCTAAAACTGCAGTGCCTGAGTGGTGTGTGGGGTGCTTTCTTAAAAGCCCAGGACCATGTGAGAAGGCTGAATCACACAAGTTGGCTCCGCCCAATAACAACAAATGTATTTTCAGGGAAGGAGACCCTGTGGCTGTCTAGATGTTCGACTCCAGTTGTCCTCAGCCCTGCCCAGCATGGGAAGGTTGGACTTGACAATATCTGAGGAGCTACAGGTTCACCTTTGTTGTGTTAAATGGAGGGAGGGGGAAAGTATCACATTTTCCCAGGTTCAAAATATTGTGCTTAGAGAGCTCAGAAAATAGTGTATTTCCATGACAGCAGTGCAATCTTGAAGGAAGATGTGAGGAATGTACACAAGTACACAAAAGAAAAGAAAAGAATTGCATGTTTATTGTGCAGTGATCTGATTGTGTGGGTCATATCATGACAAAAGAAGTAAGGTAAGATCCATCACTTAGGCTAATCTGACATCTTCTGCCAAACATACTTTGCTCCCTTAAAGCCTCACGGATGTCAGTGCAATAAGTATCCATATTTAGAACTATGGGGTACCCAGAAGAAAATACAACGAAGCATTCCTTCAGAGGGAAGCCTGTTGTGAATGACTGCTCATATTAAGGAGAGTGCTATAGTCAAAGGGAAAAGAACTGATATTCTGGGTCAGTCACAATTCATAAAGCAAAAATCTCAAGAAAGTCAAATACTAGAAAGTGTGTGTGTGTGTGTGTGTGTGTGTGTGTTGGGAAAGAAGTGGGGATGAAGAGAGAGAGAGCTAAAATTCCACATTCCACTTATTTTATCCAAGACTGCATATTTATTTTGAGATTAATTTGGCATATGCAGTGTATATTTGCCAAGATTTTTCCCCCTATTTAAATCTTCAGTTCCAAAGCTATGTTTTTAATCCTATTACTGCTAATTGAGTGAAGTCTGCAGTCTTTTTCAGTTAGGTGAAGTTCAAATTGTAATTGGTTAAAAAAAAGAGCACAACATAGGAATGAAATATTAATATTTAACTCCTGAATTTTCATTATTTCCACTTTAAAATCAAGACAGTGGTGAAAACACACGTGCACACACAAACACACACACACACAGCATTTTTGGGGGGAGAAGATACTGATTTGGAGATCGTGGGAAAATTGGTTCATGGAGCAGACTGATTAGCAAAGAAACAGATACAATTGTCAAGACGGTACATTAAAGTTAAGTATTATGCTAACTCTTCAGTGGCATTCACAACGGTCAAGATCAATCAGCATTTCCCAGTGAATGATTTCATTTTTTAAGAAGCACAGTGGGTGACATCCATTGATACCTGTCTGCTTGCAGATTTCAGTGCTTTGGCTGGCCTGTATTAAGTGCCCCATCAAGTTTTTAAATCGTACAATCAATATTGCTGCTGTAAATAGGGCTCAGTAGCAAATTAGTGCCAGTACAACTCATGGCAAATAGATGTGATATGACACTGACTTCATGTGCTGCTCAGAAACCCAACAGTAGCATTGTGTACCAAGTGCAGCTTCTAAACAGTCTACAAGGGTAGCCCTGCCTAGATTGCGTTACAGTAATCTAGAGGTGAGGTTACCATGGCAGAAAGAAGTTCCCAAAGCAACTCCCAGCTTAGAAATAGGTCATGTCAAAATATCCATTAAGCAACTCTCTTATGAAGGCTCATAGAGCTGGAGAATAGGGCAAGGTAGTTGGAACCAGTCATCTCTGATGGTCAGCACTTCTCAGTTCTTCTGACAGCAGCTCCCCCTATGAAGGTTTCTAGGGCTGAAGGATGGGGCAAGACAAATGGAAAAGCCATCCCCTTAATATGCATTAATGCAATACATTTTTGTATGTTATTCTCACTCATCATCTTTATGCCTTTTTGTAAACCTTGGCTGCTTGGAGAATCACAGTGCAAAATTCAGATAAGTGCAAATTTCGAAGAATGGCTGCATTTCTGTTTTCATATTGTTTTGGACAGTGTGAATCTGATAGATTCGGCTTTAAATGGGATCTGAATCAATTTTCTCCCCTACCAGGAAGACTGTATGAAGGGTGGGGGGAACGCATGCCCCCAAAGTCTTACCTTTCCTGCTCCACATAATGCATTATCTTCTGTTTCGTGTATAAAAGACGGCTGTAGTATCGTAGAATAATTCCTTGAATAATGCACATGCCCAAATAAAAAAAGCAGATGTGTCAGACATCATTCTCATCCTTTCAGGCGGGTAGCAGTTAAGCCGTAGAAAGGGCAAGATGTAGAAATGTTTGTTAATCCTGTCAACCGTTTGTTGCCCTGTTAGGTTTGATGACATTGCAATTTCTGTAACTGACTTTGGAATGGGATATTTCGTTAGTTTGAGAGCTTACAGATTTTGTATTAGCCTAGCCAACAGGTCAATCTAAAATGCGACAGCTTGCTCACACTTTCACCTGAAGATGGAGCCTGAGTGGTACTGGATGTATGTGTGAAATAACACAAGTCCATTACTAACAACCTTCTATGATGGAGTATGTTCATGCTGGGAGAAAGTATGGTCCCAGGCTTATTTAGATTCTCATGGCAAAAAAATAAAATAAACAAATCTATAAACAAACATTTGACAACTCCCTTATGCTCTTAGGTGTTCTACAGATTATGAAAGACTCTTATAATTATTGAATTGTTCTTTTGAACCTATTGCTGGGTATTGGTTTTTGCATACTAAGAGTCACAGGCAATATGTCCAAAATACAAAAGTTGTGTTTAACAATGTTTTGAAAACAAGCTATACTATGTAGGCCATTCTCTGCTCCGTCATATCTCATAAGCTGGTCGTTGGCCTCAGAGACCACCACTCTACATTGATTGTGTAATAGTTTGAATGTCTCCTGGTATGCCCCACAGAGAAACTTACGGTCTTCAAATAAAAACATCTTGAAGGTCCCAGGCCACAGAGAAGTTAGGCTGGCCTCAACGAGAGCCAGGGCTTTTTCGGCTGTGGCTCCGATCTGGTGGAACGCTCTGTCACAAGAGACCAGGGCCCTGCAGGACTTGACATCTTTCCGCAGGGCCTGCAAGACAGAGCTGTTCCACCAGGCCTTTGGCAAGGGCACAGCCTGACTCCCTCCTTCGGCAATCTTCGCGGAGCTCTGGCCCAATGGCTGCCAGTGGCTTGAATTAATTAATTTTAGAATGTAATGATTTTAGAGTGTTGTTTATGCTGTACTTTTGTACTGTTTTATTGTTGTTAGCCGCCCTGAGCCCGGCTAAGGCTGGGGAGGGCGGGATATAAATAAAATTTATTATTATTATTATTATAAAATATTATTTCTGCGAGAACCTGCATTGAGAAAAACCATACTTCCTTGCCCTCCCGTCGCCTGATTTTATCACCTGTATATTTATTGTACAGTACAAGAACGCATGTTATAGATTAGTGAGGACTGCAGTGGGAAGTCTATGGCTGGCGAATGTGGGAAAATATTACTTAGTCAACAAATTCCAGAGCAGTAGGCTGGTTGTTGTAGCAAAAAAAAAAGAGAACCAGGTAGCTCCTTCAAGTCTTGATTATCTAGTCAGTTCTTCAAGCAGCTTCCCCTTCTGACTGGGGAGTGAGAAAACATTTTAGGCATAACTTTAAAAATAGCCTGGAAGGTTGTACAAAAATGCCAAGAATTGGATTAATTGGCATAATACAAGGTGGTTGGGCACAGTTGGGAAAAGTGTCAGCGTAGGGAGAATCCCCACCAAGAAAGACTGTCTGCGCAATTAGCTATCTGAACTCTAACCCTTCCAGAATAATTAATGAATAACAGAGAGGATCAAGACAAAGACACAAAGTGATTTGGTGTGTGCTAGCAAGTAATACATCAAAGAATGCTGGTAATTGGCCCTGTGGCTTTCATTCTTTGCCCTATTTCTTTCAATTCATTGACTCAAAATAATGGGTTCAGGTTCATTATCAACAGGTTTTAGCTGCAAGAGTACAACACTTCAACAAAGCTGGGATTGTAGCAGTACTGGTGGCTCGGTAAAAAAAAAGAAAAAGTAAAAAAAAAAGTTGTGGACTGGCGCACACTCGCTTGAAAGGGAAAGGAGCGGTGCAAGGCATTAGCTTTGCACTTAATGAAACAGTGGGTATTCACAAACTTTTCCGAGTTTTCTAAGGTTTGGCTTTCCCTACAAGTCACAATGCTGGAATACAGTTGGTATGGGCAGGTATGTATAGCTCCAATTAAAGCTGTCTTATTATAGCAGCAGGGATAGAGAGGGAGAGATAGAAAGTGCGCCTTCCAATATAATGAATGAGGCTGAATGCTTGACGCCATGTGTCACAGGTGCAAGTCACTATTTATTTGCCAATAATGGCCGTTTATTGTTGGAAGCACTTACCGGTCCCTAAAAGGGCTGATTTGCTCCATAAATGTGATTACGGGTGGTTTCATTTTCCTCCCGCTGGATTTTGTTTTGTTTTATCGCCCAACTAGAAATAGAAAATGCTTAAATATTTGCAGGAAAAGAAAATCTTTTCTGGCTTTGGAAGGTACTGCTATGGCCACTATATACCACCATCGCTAATGATGTGGGATAACTTTGGATGAAGAAAAGGCAAGGCAGAGTGGAGAGCGAGGGCAGACTTCTTAGTATTCATTTTGGATGAGTATATAATGCGTACTGTTAACTTTATAAAGCTCTGTGAATGTCATTCAAAAGGTTATTTTGTTCCAGTTTCTTGGCTAAATATCGATCAATTTTGATCAGTTACTGAATAGCTTGGGGAGCTGGGGAAAACCAGCATCTGTGTGACGTTATATTTCGGTTTCCCTCGTTTATGAGGCATGCCGTCATTATCAGGACTGTACCCTAAACTGGACTTTTTAAAGAAGAAACATATGATTGTTTATAATGCATGCACAGCAAAACATTGTTCGTTCAAGAGCAGGCATAGGAAATATTCATATGTGATGCTAAAATGCATTTGCTTGTCTGACGTGTATAAATGCTATTATTACAGAGTAGAAAATGGAAGGGATCTATTCGTAAATATACCTTCTAATCAAAGTAGCCTTTTCATTGGATTTACGGAAGCGGGAAGTATAAAACTTGATGTATCGCATGTGAAGCAGTCGCAGACTATATATTGTGAAATGTTTAAGAATCATCCTTAGTTCAATGATTGGATGACGTAATTCAAAGATCTTGGGAATCAGGTCAATGAAACTTCAGTCGATGGCAATAAACTTTGGATAAGACTTTCTGTGGAATAGCTACCAGCACAGCTTTTGTCTCTAGACAATAGTACCATGTGAATGATGTAAAATGATTTGGAATAAGCTACAAAGTACTACTTTTTTTTTTAAAAAAAAAGCATCTTTACATTACTTTCCTGCTGTGTTATGTTACACACTACAATGTATAATTTTGCATAGAACCGGAAACATTAATAATCTTTAAGTAGGAGCTTGCCGTTACTACATTTAATTATATTCATTGAACGAAAAAATACACAATTTCCTTTATCTGATCTGTTTATGTATAATATTACCTTCGCTCTCTAAATGGTTTACACAACATGCAGTCATAACATCCCTTTCCTGATCTAAACACCCGGTCTTATATCACTGTAAGTTTCTGCAACTTATGGCTAGTTGTCACATGCAAGCTTATCAATTGATGACTGCAACATGATGATGACTTATGCATATAATGTGATAGAACTTTCCCATCGCTGCATATATTATCTCAAGCACAATAATTTTCTAGTTCACACATTTCAGCTGCCAGTCATCATGAAATCGAATAAAATGTGCATATGTGTGAATCAGCCATTAACACACTTTTCTTTCTCTCTTGCTAGTTTCTGGCAACTCAAATATTTTGGTTGATCTCCCCCTTTGTTTGGATAAATCAAATTATAGCGAATGATCATATGCATAAATGTTTTTTCTTCTTTGAAAATTGCTGCTGCTCCTTGTCTAAAATTTATTGTTTGGAATGAAAAGAATCTCAAAACCTGCACCGGAAAAACTGGCACGGAAAGCTTATTTTCAGAGGGAAGCATTGAAACTTTCCCAGGTAATGCAGTCTCCCAATGAGACTCGTGAGTAATGAGCTGACATTCATAGGACTGCACTATTAATATGACATTAATAACTTCTGATGCATGAAAGTAACCAAATCCTTGAAGAATGTGCAATGGTCACATTCAAAGACAAGGGTGGCCAGAAGTTAGAACAGCTGGGCTTCTTAAATTTCCAGTTGCAGCATTCAACAGTTGATTTCAACATTGTCACTTATGAGCTGTGAATTAAGCTATAAATATTGCAATACATATCAGAGATTTTTCCCATTTGAGAAGCACTGCACATCAAAGGATCTGCGCTATGGCATGCCACCTATGGGCAGGTGTCATGCTTAAAAAAAAAAATTGCCCCCATCTTTTCTTCTTCTCCAAATATGTGGCTTTTAATGGGATGGGCTGTTGAACAGTTTGAATTGTCTTTTTGTTTACTTTAAATCCCTTCCATTGCACGATTCTTTCTGAAATTCAGCCTCAATTTTTAGTTGAATGATTTTGCATTCATATGTTACGGTGTGCATAACAAAAAGACCGAAGACTTATATCTTTGTTAGAAGGGGAAATAATTGACAGCAGCTGAAGCTGGCATCTTGCAAATAGTTCCTCTGACTTTACGACTAGACTTCTCTGTTACTCACCTGTATCCATGCTGGGTTTTTTTTGCTTTCTTCCTTTGTTATATTACATTCCACATTAATTCTTAGCTTGGGAGTTACTTTACAGCCAAACTAGATGCGATGCTAAACACCTCATTAAGAAGCCCATCAATGGAACTTATTTCCATCAATATTGTATTGTATGGAGGTAGGAGGCTTAACCCTTCCCCCCTACATTACTCAAATGACAAAGAAGGGCTAACAGAAGCAAGGGGAGGATTTTCCTTGGGATCATGGTGAGCGGGGAAAGGGTTAAACCTCCCTTCCCTGCATGCTACGATCCTGATTAAAATTGAGTCCCTTGCAATGGCTATATATCTATATCTATCTCTATATCTATCTATCTGTATCATCTATCTATCTATCTATCTATCTATCTATCTATCTATCTATCTATCATCTATCTATCTATCATCATCTATCTATCTATCTATCTATCTATCTATCTATCTATCATCTATCAATCTATATCTATCTAATCTATCTAATCTATCATATCTATCTATATCTATCTATCTATCATCTATCTATCTATCTATCATCTATCTATCTATCTATCTATCTATCATCTATCTATCTATCTATCTATCATCTATCATCTATCATCTATCATCTATCTATCTATCATCTATCTATCTATCTATCTATCTATCTATCTATCTATCTATCATCTATCTATCTATCTATCTATCTATCTATCTATCTATCATCTATCTATCTATCATCTATCTATCTAATCTATCATCTATCTATCATCTATCTATCTATCATCTATCTATCATCTATCTATCTATCTATCATCTATCATCTCTATCTATCATCTCTATCTATCATCTATCTATATCTATCTAACCACTATCTAATGTCCTAACAACACATTTAGCATCGTGTTGGGCTCTTAGTTTTTTATAACTACTGAGTGTTGCAGGAGTGGCCCTGCATCTCATCCTAACGCTTGAAATCTTATTCAGATATAAATGGTGAAGAGTGCTGCTCTCTCCAAAAAAGACTTGGGTTTCTCAGCATTCTGCTTGAAGGCAAATACGCTTTGGGCAGATTTTTGCATGCAGGAGGGGCTTAATGAGCACGTAGACATTACAGGATACTGACAGTTCTCTGCTAGGGGATACCTGCCTGCGCTTTCTGTATGTAGTAACACCCATGCTTCTCCTCTACAGGGCTGTGCATACAAGTTTCTCATGCTCCAGACACTGAAATATACATTCAAAAACTCCTTTCTACATGCTCAACAGATTGCAAGGAGAGGACTGGAATATCATACCCTCCAACATTTCCCCTGATGAAAATAGGGATGCCCTAAATACTACTACTACTACTACTACTACTAATAATAATAATAATAATGATTTTATTATTTATACCCCACCCTTCTGATTGGGTTGCCCCAGCCACTCTGAACAGTTTCCAACATATATAAAAATGTAATAAAGCATTCAATTTTTTAAAAAAATCGTATACAGGTGTGCTTTCAGATGTCTTCAGAGGGGTGTATAGTTACTTCTCTCGTTGGCTCAAGGGTGGCATAACTCCATACCTTCCCACATTTCTCCGATGAAAGTAGGGACAAACTAAGGAAAAGTGGGACATTCTGGGATCAAATCAGAAACCGGAACAGCTTCTGTAAATTTGGGACTGCCCCGGAAAAATAGGGACACTTGGAGGGTCTGGAATATGCCCCATATGTGTTAAGAGGATTTTAGACATGCTATAATGCAGAGGTGTATAATGCAGAGGTGTATAATGCAGAGGGACGTGGGTGGCGCTGTGGGTAAAACCTCAGCGCCTAGGACTTGCCGATGGCATAGTCGGCGCTTCGAATCCCCGCGGCGGGGTGCTCTCCCGTTGCTCGGTCCCAGCGCCTGCCAACCTAGCAATTCGAAAGCACCCCCGGGTGCAAGTAGATAAATAGGGACCGCTTACTAGCGGGAAGGTAAACGGCGTTTCCGTGTGTGGCTCTGGCTCGCCAGAGTAGCTTCGTCACGCTGGCCACGTGACCCGGAAGTGTCTGCGGACAGCGCTGGCTCCCGGCCTCTAGAGTGAGATGAGCGCACAACCCCAGAGTCTGTCAAGACTGGCCTGTACGGGCAGGGGTACCTTTATAATGCAGAGGTACGTTCATGTCTCCTAAATGTAATGTAGGAATTTTATCTTGCAGTGCGGGATGCTATATGTCTTTGATTATGAAAATTATTCAGAATTCCAAGGACATCATTGCATTTTAAGGGCTGCTGCGTACTCAGACATCACGTCTTAATCTCAGTCTAAGATAAACATTTCTGCATCACCATGTACCTGACTGGCTTGCTCTTTTAAATGCACAAAACCTTGATCCATATTCAGGACAGTGGTCCCCCCCCCTTTTCGTTTTCCTGCTGTGATGAAAGAGTCATCTCATCCTGTATTAATTTTGTCGGGTATCTTTTGGAGGCAGCCTGCCAGTACGTATCTGAGCATTTTTCACA